GTGGTGGGACGATGCCACCTCAAAATTCCAGCCCAACGAGACCACAGGTGTGGTTTTGGTGGCACTTTCTAACAATAACACTGATTTATTGAGTGGTTGAAGGAGAATTTGTGTTATTTTTGTATTTTTAAGGATAAATTGAAGCACCAGAGGTCAGGGGTTGGATCAGGGATGATCTGTGGTCACGGTGGGACTGTGGCACCTCGAAATTCCAGCCCAACCACAGGTGTGGTTTTCTCAGCACTTTCTAATGATAAAGAAATGATCCAATTTGGGTTTTTTCCTACAGAAAATTAATGATAAAGGTTAAAAATTCTGGATCTTTCCACTTGCTGATTTTTCAAAGTCAACGCTCAGGTGGCCTTAAACCTTTTTCATCCCTTTTTCTGTCCTGCCCGAGGTTGTACCTCACATTATCATCACCAAAAATGTCCATTTTTGCCTCATTTCTCACCACAGCCTGGAACCGAATTTGTAAACTCTCAGAATCAACTGAAATGACTAAAACAGGGGAAAAAAAACCCAACTTCCTTCCCCTGCCTTTCTTAATCTCTATTATTTTCTGTGTTATCTTGTTGTTGGGTGGGGCTGGATTACTCAGGGCCAAGACGAGAGGGAATTGAAATGAACAAGAAAAAAAATCATCATCATCATCATTTTTGGGCTGGAAAAGCCGCTTTTCAGCGCTGTGCACTCCCAACCTTGAACTCCAGACTCTGATTCCCTCATAAAAATGTAAATCTTCCGGATCCTCTGGGATTTCCAGGCTTTTAACTTCCTGATTCTTTAATTTTTTTCCTCTCACTTGAAAAACTCTGGAGCAGAGGCCCCCGAACGCCTGGATTTAATTACCTGGATTGTTTTGTTATCGATAACGCAGCCAACGAACTTTGGATAGAGAAGAGGCGAGCGCCTGGATTTGATTTCCCAGGACGCGTTGACGTCGAGGATCTCCATCCTGCATCTCCTAACTCGCTTTTTTTTTAACCATTTTCCCTTTTTTTTGTGTGTTTTTTCCCTGTTTTTGGATTCTGTAGGTTATTTTTCTTCGCTGAGGTCTCAGAAAACAAGCGTCTCTTCGAGCTGGTGTGGGAAAGATCTTCCTCCTCGGCATCATGTCCACCAAAGTGCCGATCTACCTGAAGAGAGGAAGCAGGAAGGGGAAGAAGGAAAAACTCCGTGACATCCTCTCCTCCGACATGATCAGCCCACCCTTGGGGGACTTCAGGCACACGATCCACATCGGGAGCGGCGGGGAGAGCGACATGTTTGGGGACATCTCCTTCCTTCAAGGGAAATTTCACCTCCTCCCCAGGACCGAAAGCAGTTTGGATTCCGATCAGGACAGTCCCGAGGCGGCTCCGTTTGAGTTCTCCAGGACAGCCACCATCTCCGGCCGCCAACCAGCGTCCTCAGAAACTCCCTCCCCTCTCCTCAAAAACGCCATCTCCTTGCCCGTCATCGGGGGGCCACAAGCCT